ATAAAATAAATAAAATCATTATTTTAATAATTTTGAATAATAAATAATATTATTTTAATTATTTTTTTAATTATTGAATAATTAATAGACTTAAACATATTAACATGCCTAAGCTAAGATTTTGATTTTTTAAATATAGATCAGATCATATCTATAATTTAGACTTACACAAAATTAACAGATCAGGCCAGACTTAATCTATTTAAATTAAAGCTCAGCCTAACCTAACACATTTACGAGTGGAGATATTCTAACTACCAAAAATTATTCTTCCTCCGCATTTACATGCCTAAGGCAGCTAATCCTCCTCAAAATGATATAAGTTGGTATTTTTAACCCATTCATTAAAACTAGTTTAACCTATTCCCCCGGTGAGTTAACTAGGCGGGGCAAGACAAGACGAGTTAACCATTTTTGCCAAATCTAGTCGCAGCCGTTTAAAATTTTCTTGGGGGGAGCAACAACTAACATATAATTCATGAATGGGATCAATAATGGATCACTGTGGTCATTTCAAAGGAGTATGATATTTTTGTGGTAACAATAATAGTACAGATATTTAAAATTAATACGTTTTAAAGCTACTTAAATGCATGCGAGATGGCTCAGATACGTTTGTTTCGCCTTCTAAAAAAAAAAAAAAAAATTATCTTTTTTTTATTTTAAAAATATTTTTTACAAAAAGCTAAAGTTATTTATATTTTTATAAAAATATTTAATTTAAAAAAAAAATATTTGACTTTTGATTTCTATTTTTTTTAGAAGTTAAAATTTTTAACTTCTATAAATGGTAGGTTTTTGACTTTTTTTATAACTTCTGTTTTTTTAAGCAGACATTCAAACGAATTTAAAAAAAAAATTCTTGAAAAAAAACACTTAAAAAAAACTCATTCAAACGAACCCTTAGTTCTTTAAAAGATATGCACGAGCACATTACTATTATTAAAGAACACTGAGGTCAACCTAGCACCATCCCTGATATTCAGTTGTTTTCCTCTCCATGGCTGACATAATTTCCAGGTGACTGTTTGCAGTTGTTCTTCTCAGACAAAAGCTAAACTCATTTTTAAAAAGTAGTACGGCTTTGTACCTTTGTTTTGTTGCGAAATAAGAGAGAAAAAATTAACTAAATGAAAATGAATTATATTAAAAGTTCGACAAGTTACCTATACATTACTTATACAAGTGACCAAGGGGACTTAAGTTTAAATAGAAAAGCTGTGAATTGTTTTTGCATTGTTGAACTCACTAAATTGTACATATTGGCTCCCTGTATAAATTTTTCTGCAGCATGAAACATAATTGGAAATGATTTATTAAATTTTAACTTTATAAAATTGAAGGCGTGTTGATTCACATAAAAGCCATGTGAAAGTGTTAAAGATGTTGGACAAACAGCCTGTCTCTCTCTCTAGAAGTTGGACCCAACAACCCAGCATTCATCTAGAAATTATGACCTAATAATTCCAGTCAATTCATTTTTTAATAACATACATCATTAAGCAGCCACTTCCGTATAAGCTTTTCCTTTGTCTAACTTTGAGGGTTGTTAATCACGATCAATTTGAGGAGAGTTCGTGAGCCTAAATGAGGAAAATATTTTCTATACTAATCACTTGGTACATTTTTTATCAAATATAAAAAAAATAACACGTTTACAATACTTTTCTCATTATTATTATTATTTTTTCATATTTTCTTTTTGGCAACGGAATACCTACTCCTACATGAGATGCATGTTTCATCCCTTTTTTTTTGGAAATTTATTACTTAAAAAATATGGCCAAAATTAATAATAACCTATATTAAAAATATAAAAAGACAAGAGAAATACAATCTCTAATACATTTAAAACAAAAAAAAATAACAAAATTAGATTACTTAAATACTTGATTAATTTAAAATAAACTCAAAGTTTTAGCAAATATCAAACTCAATATATCAACATTAAACAGTTAAAAATGCATATAAGCGCTGAGCTAGAATGCTATTATATTGCCCTTTTGAGCCATTGCATTTTGTTATTCCCATTTAATTTCATGTATTGCAAACAACAACAAAAGTTGACAAACAGGCTCACGTTTTAAAAAGGGTTAGCCCAATTAACGTGCTGTTTCAAATAGCAGATCCTCCTTTAGGCTTAGCTGAGACTAATATTAAAAAAAAAAAAATACATTTTTTTTAAAGGAAGAAGTATCCTTAAGATATATTAAAAAAAAAAATCATTATTATGAAAAGTATGGGAAACGTAAACGTATGTCATGTGACACGTGCTTCCTTTACTTGGCAGCCAGCCTAACAACTCCAAAAAAGAAAAAGAAAAGAAGAAGAAGGCAAATCACCCGTAAAATAGAACGCATTCAGTCGGTTAAGACGAAAGAGACTTGACCATTGTGATTTCTTCATCGTCATCTTTTTCTTCTTTTTTATATGACGATTGACGGGACCTTTTATAAAAAACTATATTTTATGTTTATGGGATAGGATATTGCGACACATAAATAATGTTACGCACAATGTTACGACCACATCTTAACCGTTGATTTCTGTCAATCAACGGTTATTATTTATTGCGAATTAATAATTAATTAATGAGTTTGATTTAAAAAATGATAATCGTTGATTAGCGAAAATCAACGGTTAAGATGTGGTCGTAACATTGTGCGTAACATTATTTGTGTGTCACAATATCCTATCCCATATTATATATGTTATTTTCTTTAAAAAAATAAATCAACTTTTTTATTTTAGTTTATATAATTTGATGAGGAAGGTTATACTTACAATTTTTTTTTTACAATCTATTACAACTATATATCATAACCGTTGATTTTCGCCATGTTATTTATTACTAATTAATAATTAATTAATGAGTTTAATTTGCAAAAATCATAACCGTTATGATATATGATTGTAAGAGGTTGTAAAAAAAAAGTTGTAACTATAACCTCTCCCTAATTTGATATATTGAAAAATTTTAAAATCTAATTGAATTAATATCTTCAATACTCTAACGAAAATAATTAAGTTAAATATAAACACTTTTGTTATCAAAATTGATTTCTTTGATTTTGCACAATTTTTTAAATGATAAATGATTAAATAGAAATGGGATATAAAATTAGTGTAAGTTTGGCATTACATGTAAAAATTATTTGATAAATAATTACATATAAAAATGTTTTTTTAATATATTATAATAAAACTGATTTCTAGTTTAAGAGAAAAGTGTTTGTCATCATAAATGAAATAACACTCTGTCCTTTTAAGAGAGAGACATACGCAGAAAAAAATTTTATTTAAATTTTAAATTAAAAAAAACCACACACTTTCTCTTTCTCATAATTTTTATTTTTCTGTGTTTGTCTCTTTTCTAAAATGACATAACTTATATCATTTAAAATGACAAATACTAAACCCCTAATTTAAATATATTAACTAAAAAGTGATTATAAAAATATATTTTTAAATTATATAATAATTATTTTTATTTGTTTTTGGTGGTTGGAATTACTTTTATTTAATAAACTATCAAAATAAGCATTAACGATTTTGACCTGTTCTTTGTTAGATAGTAAAAAAGGGATCTGGATCCTCTCATATGAAATTTCACATGATTATGTCATGTGGGGAATCATAATCATACAAAGGTGGATCAATGATAATAAAGGAGGAGAGAAAAAAATGTTAAAATAAATAGTTACGAATAACCGTTGATTTATCTTTGTATGGTTGTGATATTCCTACATGACTATATCATGTTTTTTTCACATGAGAGAATTCATTTCAGTAAAAAAGTATTTGTGTCCAAGTTTGAAAATTAATAATCAAGAATTAATAGTCAATCTAGAAATTACTTTCATAAAAAATAAATTTGCCTAAAAAATAAATCAAAAAATTTTCTTTATATTTTTCATATTAAGAATAATTATTTTTACTTATAATTAACGCTACTTAATAAATTTATAAATTTTTATGCAACAACAATTAACGATAAGTAAAAGTAGATAGCGAATAATATTAATATATTTATTGGTGTCACCCCCATATTGGTAATCTAATATGAGAAAATTATATAATATTTAAATACTCTGTTCATTTTTTTTTTGTTATAACTATACAAAAGTTAAAAAAATATTTAAAGAACTTTAGTTAAAAGTAAAAATATCTAAATTTGTGAGTATTTGTATTTTTTATATGAAAAATTAAAATATCATTTTATTAATATTGAAATATAGTGAAACATATTAACACTTTATTAATTGAAAATGAAAAGTAAAATAAGCATATATTCTAAAATAACAAATAAAAAGTGAAATTTATTTATTAAACTATATATTAAACAAAGACTCTTATATAAATCTAATATATTTATGTTTGTAACATTAGATAAATATACAAAGTCAAGTTTTTAATCGTTTATTATTTATTAATTATATTTAACAAATATTTATAGAGTAACCAACAAAACAAACAATATTTGAGAATTCACTTTGATTCTTGACATGAATAGTGAGAATTATGGATGTGCATTTTCCCTGCTGTCATTTATTATATAAAATATAAAATACAATACAATTTTTCGTTGATATAGAAATAGATCCTTTTAATGTACAAAAAAAGAAAAGAAAAGAAATAGATCTTTTTATGTTTGTTTTAATTTGATTATCTAACGCAAAATTTATCAGTTAATTCATGGATAAATAAATGATTACAATTTCAATGACAATTTTTTGTTAAAAAATAATCATTTTAGTTATTGATGGTTGATTTATCGAAGTGAGATTTTTCACCTTATGTGCTCACACTAGTCACACTGAGAAGACGAGTTCACACACGTAACGTGAAAGGCACCGCTCAAAGCCTAAAACACACGCTGTTCGAAAATACCCAAAATAAAAATAAAAAATAAAAAAAAAACTTACACACACACGCAGTTCCTATTTGCTTCCTACCCTTCTCTCCCTCACTTCGGATTCTCTTTTGACCCCACTCTCTATTGCGAGACTCTTCTCTTTCTCTCTCTATAACTGCCTTATTTTCTCGCTCCCTTTCTTCTCTCTTCCTCTCTCTCTCTCTCTCTCTCTCTCTCTCTGTTTTCCCGGAATTGTGGACGCACAGATCTTTCCCCCGACAAATTTGGTGTACAAATTTCTGTACCGAGAAACAAAAAAATGCGGAGTTTCACTTTCTTCGAACGAGTTTCTAGAGCTTTCCGTGACCATGAGTCGCAGTTGAAGCTTGTGCTGCTCTGCACCACCGTAAGGTACCATCAACTTCAATCTTCTCTTCATTTTGCTTATTTATATCTGTTTTCCAAAAAATGAAAACTAGTTATTACTTGTTTTCTCTGTTTTTACTTCAGATCGTGCTTGCTTAATCTTATTTTCATCTGTAGTGTGGTGAATTTCACGTATTCTTTTTGTTATGAGGTAGATCCACTTATTGTCATAAAAATGAATTGTTCAATCTAGTTTTAAAATAAATTGTGAAAATAATTCTCTGATTCCATTTGCTTCTCTGATCCGCTGCATCAAATTATGCTCTGTTTTTTTTTTCTTTCTAATTCTTTACGGAGAGATTTCGTGTAATTATATGTATGTGTGTATGTATGTATAATAGATCAACAAAAACTTTGAAGGTCTTTAAAGAATTCTATACTTGACACGTATATTATAAATGTGTGATTTGCGTATGAATGAAGAGATGAACACTTTGGTTGATGCAGTGGTGGTGGTCTTTTGGCTTACGGTGAGGCTGTCGGTGCATCTGAAGCGGCGGTGACCGACAAGAAAAAGGTGGTGGTGCTGGGAACTGGCTGGGCAGGCACGAGTTTCTTGAAGAATCTGAACAATCCCAGGTATGAGGTTCACGTGGTGTCGCCTCGCAATTATTTTGCGTTCACTCCTTTGCTGCCTAGTGTTACCTGCGGCACCGTCGAAGCGCGCAGCATTGTTGAACCCGTCCGCAATATTTTTAGGAAGGTATGATGATGAAATCAGCCGGTTAGTCCCAATTTCTTACTGTTGTATTGTGGAATTGTTAATTAAGTTTAAAAAAATCTTTATAAATGATTAAAATTCGGTTCTATATGGTTTTAGTAGTCTTGACAATGATTGATAGAATAACACCTCTTTAAATTTCATTTTTCTATTTCCCGATATTTGGGGAAAATTACCTTTTATTTATTTATTTTTGGGCGGCCGGGTAGGGGGAGAGAGTTTACCTTTGTGTTTTATGAAGGAAGGATGGTTTAATGGATGTTGCCCTTACGAAAGAGGAGATACCTTTGCCTATTATAACTGGATATTTTCCATATCAATTTCAATTTCAATTTCAAGCCATCCATCTGTAACCTTATTTACAATAACCAATTACTGTTAACAGTTAATAATAAGCTGTTGGGTGGTCAACTTAATACTTATATTTATGTGTACAAGGTACAATGAGCACTAGACAATCTATATGGGCGCGTGCATGTATTTCCTATGGAGATTGTCACATTATGTGTTATATTTTCTGTGAAATAAACAGAGCTTTGGTCTCGTGTCAATTGTCATGTCTGGATGCAATGTGACTGTAGTTTTTCTTCACTGTTGTACGGGATATCATATATTTCTGTTCATCTAACAATTGGTTTATCTAAATCACACTTATGAGACTGTACCTCGTCATAAAGGAGTAGGATATGTTGGTACGATAATGAATTACTATTAGGAGATACACATTGTGATATAAGTAGTGGATATAACTAAACCCTTTTTCTTGTTTTCCTCCTAACAGAAAAAGGTGGACGTTGAATACAGTGAAGCAGGATGTGTCAAGATTGATGCAGCAAACAGGAAAGTTTACTGTCGATCTAATATAAGCAATAATTTGAACGTAAAAGAAGAATTTGTCGTGGACTATGACTACCTAATCATAGCCGTGGGAGCAAATGTCAACACATTTAATACTCCCGGAGTGGTCGAGAATTGCCATTTCTTGAAGGTAACTTCTTTAATCATATAGTGCATCATGTTAACATATATTTATGATGTACAGCATTAAAAAGTAAAAAGGCTTCATCCAGTTAAGAATTTGTAATGGGAGGAGAGGAAGGGGTCAAAATCCAATGATGATTTAAGTGTGATTTGATTCTGTTCATCCATATGTGTTTTTTGGTTTTTAGTTATCTCATGGACATGTGTTTACACTGTACAGGAAGTTGAAGATGCACAGAAGATTAGAAGAACCGTTATTGACTGCTTTGAGAGAGCAAGTTTGCCTAGTGTAAGTGAAGAAGAAAAGAAGAGAATTCTTCATTTCGCTATTGTTGGAGGTGGTCCAACTGGAGTGGAGTTTGCTGCCGCACTTCATGACTTTGTCATTGAGGATTTGGTCAGGTTATATCCTGGGATAAAAGATTTAGTTAAGATTACGCTTCTGGAGGCAGGAGATCATATTTTGAGCATGTGAGCATGAAACTCTCATTACACCTTTGTTCTTGTTAGCAACTTGTTTAATGATGCTTTGTAATCCATTATTTGTGTTTATGAGTGGGCATTTGAAAATATTTTATTCAGTCACAGATTTTATATGTGCAGGGTGGGAGGTTTCGTTGTTTGGAATGTACTAAGAATTTCTACGTTTTTATTCTCGTGCTCATTTTCAGGTTTGACAAAAGAATCACTACTTTTGCAGAAGACAAATTCCGAAGAGATGGAATTGATGTGAAAACAGGATCGATGGTTGTGAAGGTATCTGAGAAAGAAATATCTACTAAAGAATTGAAAAATGGAGGAGAAATTACTACAATTCCATATGGAATGGCTGTCTGGTCAACTGGTATTGGCACTCGTCCATTTATAAAAGATTTTATGGCACAAATTGGTCAGGTGTGTCTTTGGGAAATTTGACATTGTATTTGTTCTGATTCTTAATTCCATATCATGTTCCTCTTGTAGTTTGTATTTACTATTCAGCAAATGAATTTTACATTCATCATTTATTTACTCGACAATGATTATTCTGAACAGACTAACAGACGTGCTATAGCTACTGATGAATGGTTGAGGGTTGAAGCAACCAACAATGTGTATGCGCTTGGTGATTGTGCTACAATAAACCAGCGAAAAGTCATGGTACCTGATACTATTTCTCCATCATTTTATTTAATTAACATTGGACATTCTTACTAGTGTGCAACTGTGAATGCTGTGTGACACTCCGGCCATATTCCATTTTCATGGATAGACATTTCAGTATCAATACTGTAATATTGCATTTGGTTTTTATTTTGCAGCTTTTTTATCTGTCTTTCATTAGAGTAATATGTATTTAATTTTGATGGAATAGCAAAATCTCTATCATACTGTTAACAATTATACACGGAGCACACATCTTGCTTAATAACTTTGTGCTCACTGGTATTTATGCCTTGCTAAGCTAGCTGAATGTATTATACATAAAGCTAAACCTATTGACGATCTGGGACTTGTATGATTAGTGATATTTATTTGAATTTCAAATGTTATCTTTCTTCCTGTTAATTGTTGATTTGGGTTTTGGTATTTAGGAAGATATTGCGGCAATATTTAAGAAGGCTGACAAAGACAATTCAGGAACACTTACAGTCAAAGAATTTCAAGAGGTATTGGATGACATCTGTGAAAGATACCCTCAGGTGGAGCTATATCTGAAGAATAATCAGATGAACGACATTGCTGATTTGTTGAAGGAACCCAAGGGAGATGTAAAAAAAGAATCTATTGAACTGAATATTGAAGAACTCAAAACAGCACTTTCTAAAGTGGATTCTCAGATGAAATTTCTTCCTGCCACAGCTCAGGTGCATGTCATGTTATTTGCCTGTGGCATTCTCTTCAGTGGTATCTATCTGATTTTGTCTCCTCAGTGATATGACTTTGGGTTTCTGAAACTACATATCAGGTTGCATCTCAGCAAGGCACCTACCTGGCCAAGTGTTTTAACCGGATGGAAGAGTGTGAAAAAAATCCAGAGGGTCCTATCAGGTTCAGGGGAGAAGGGCGTCATCGCTTCAAACCCTTTAGGTATCAGGATCATTTTAACTTACTAGCTCTATGCTTTTATCATTCTCTTTACGTTGACATGCAAGGTTTTTCATTAGTTGGCCAATGTTTTACTCATTGCTACATGATTGATTGTTCCTCAAGGTACAAGCATTTAGGTCAGTTTGCTCCTCTGGGAGGAGAGCAGACAGCTGCACAGCTTCCTGGGGATTGGATTTCAATTGGACGAAGCAGTCAATGGATGTGGTATTCTGTCTATGCAAGGTATTTTGTTCCTTTCCGCTTAATTTTATTCTTAAAGCTGCCACACTTCTAAGACATTCTAATTACCAAGTTACTAAAGCTTCATTCAATGCTTTGAAACAGCAAGCAAGTCAGCGGGCGCACAAGGGCGTTAGTAGTATCAGACTGGATAAGACGCTTTATTTTTGGGAGGGACTCGAGTCAAATCTGAAAGAGTTTTAACATTTTCCGGAGTCTTGCAGTTGCAATATCTCATAGCTCGTCTACCTTGCATTTTATTTTAATATAGGAAATTTTTGTTTCAATTCCTAATTCTTTGAATAAGTACACAAGTAGACTCCCAGCGGGGATGTCACAGGTGGCATTTGTAATCATGCTTTACCACTTTTAACTTAAAAGTATCAATTTCTTACATACCCTTTCCCTTTTTCTTTCATGCTTTTGGTATTGGAATTGCGGCATTAGTGAATCTGGAAGTTTTACAGATTCATTTTGGAGAAGCTTGGTGATGTAAGTGTTAGCCCCTCATGCCTAATCGTTCATGTTATATGGATTGGATATTTTTGTTATTTTTCCATTTTTGGAATTTCTGCCCTAGGAAATAATTGAAATTCATACCAATGCTTTCTTGGATTGAACAGGGCTATATTTTTATTGTGTTTCTTCTGTCTTGCCACTTCTGTGTGAATCCAGAAATGAGTCCTGAAACAATTAGCCATCTGTTGGGAAGCCCACATGCCAGTTACGGGATTGTTTGGGATTTGCATTAAAGACATCTAAAATGGTTGCTTTTCTCAGTTACATGGTTGACTCCTTATGCTAGAGCCAACCTGGCCTACTGGTCTTGTAAACCGATAGTTCCTTTTGGTTTGACACCTGAGGGTGCCCTCCTTTTGGGTCCATACATAAAGGACCTCATCAGGGTGTTGATAAAACTAGCTAAACCGGTTTCAGTGAGGTCAATCAAATGGAGAGGTACGATATATGGAAATGATAACTACAGAAAACAATCATCTTTATTTTTCAAGAATTGAGGATATAAAAAGATGCGACCGTGATTCACTTGTTATTTTGAAATGGTATAGTAAGGGAAATGTTAGAAGAGGGTCTATTTGTGTTTATTTCAATAGAAATATGCTTATCATGTTATATGAGATAATTTTATCTCATGTATTACAATTTTTTTTTTATGAGATTCACTAAGAAAAAGAGAAACAGAAAAAAGTGGGTTTAATCATGTATTTGCATGTGACAATGAAACATATTTAACTTATTTTAAATAATAATATAGTTACCAAATAATGGTAACTCATTTGACGTATTAGAGCTAAACAGGTGGGGTAAGACCGTAAAAGTATATGTTTGATCCTCCTCAATATAATTTATTAAAATTAAATAGTATAGTTTTGTAATTTTGTCTTTTTTTTGTAGTTTGGTATACGGTTCTGTCATATTTTCCTCCTCTTGTATATGTGACACAATATGCTTTTTGTGATTTTGAATGAATCCGATGCATTTTTATATGAATATCTTTATTTTTATAATATGGTATCATAGCCAAGTTTTCTACCGGGCTATCGGGCTTATTCTACTCAGCCCAATAATACTAGGCCCATATTTATCCAGCCTCCTAATAAAGCTGGCCAAGTTGCTTCTTTTTAACTCATTTCCCCTAAATCAACTCACATGTGGCATTTGCCAAGCTTTGTACTCAGCCTTCACATAAGATCTTGAGATTGCTTCTTGAACTTCCATGAATCTAAGGAGTCACCAATAAACACACCAAAACTCGCAATGAAGCCCTGGTGTCTGGACAAGAACCTAATCTGAAACTGCAAAAGCCTTTTTTGCACCTCAGAATTTACTGCATAAAATAGACCTTGTCCAACAGATGATTTAATGGAAAAAGTATTTGTCCTTTTAAATTACAGAACTTGTGTTATTTTATGCGACTCACACTTTTATTTTATTTTTTTTGTCCATTCTCTTAAAGATTTATCTCTTTCTCTCACCTAAAATAACACTTTACATCCTTTAAAATCACACATCGGAATACATACTTTACCAATCGGTTTGCTACATGCAAATGACAAAGTCTAACTAGAGCTCAAAACTGAATAAGCTTATTTGCCATGAAGTCTGTACGCATGGCCACAAAGCATACAAATGGCCAGACATGACCTATGTTGCACCGACACCGATATGGGATACGGGATACGATACGACACGATACTCCGACACGTTTTGATATTATATAATATTTTTAATTTATGTAGTGTATATTATATTTAGTATTGAATAATTTAACAAAAAATAAAGCTAAACTTATAATACCCATCAAGTTTGAAAAGAAACATAATATATCTCAAATGTTTATATTAAACTCAATAAAATCGTAATCATAATCTAACGAATCTAATAGTTGGAACTCAAAATACAACGCAACGTAACTTTTGAATCTTTTTTGAGTCTTTGCAACGAGTATTGGAGTGTCGGGAAGTGTCGGACATGACACGTCAAGATTTTTGAAGTGTCGGTGCTTCGTAGGACATGACTACTAACAAGATTTTTATTTCTCCCGATGTAGTGTTCAATGAACCTATTTTTCCCGGGAGTGGATCTTCTCGTATCTAAAAGTGATCATGTGGTCATGTTATTTGATCACAACCACTCATTGATGATGAGATAAGAGAGAAAAGTGTATAATTTTTGAATGAGTGGTTGTGATCAAATAACATGACCACATGATCACTTTTTCACACGAGAGAATCCACTCCCATTTTTCCCTTTCTTAATGTCTCTTTTACAACTTTACGGATTGTGTTCTTCCCACCCAAACACTTATCCTATCTTCTTCTCCTTCTCTTCGCTTTTCTCGCATTCAAAACCCTCCTTCTAACTTGAAGACTATCATTCTTCTATTTTAGAATGTCTGGCCTACGAGCCTTTAGATTTCGGTATGTATTTTGTAATAAATAATATTTTATTATTTTTTAATAAAAATAATATTTTGAGTTGTGATGCGCCTTAAGTTATTGTACTATTTTTGACTTTCTATAGACTTAAACATACAAAATAAATAAAATAATCATACCATATACTTTGTAAAGTGTAATATCCCATTTTCGAACGATTAGTAAGTTTGATAGGTAAGACCAAACCTTATATTTTTTTAAAATAAATCAGATCAATCTTATAGTTTAGTTTATATTAGGCTAAAGTTAAACCAGACTTCAAATACTTTACATAATTCTAACTCATTTAGGTTAAAATGTGACTTGACTTGATTTATTTATACCTCTACTCTATGATGCACGGACACTGACACGGGACTCGGAAAATGACACGACACGCCGACACGTTAATTCTAAAAAATATCATATTTGGACACGTTGGAACACGTTTTGATATTAAATAAAATTTTTAATATATGCAATATAATTTATATTTAATACATATAAGATTCCCTAATAAGGGCCCGTTTGGATGAGATTTTTTCTCAAGTTGCTTTTTTTGTGTGAAAAAAAGAACTTTTTATTTTAGTTCGTTTGGATGTCTGTTTTAAAAAAAGCAGAAGTCACAAAAAAGTCAAAAATCTAGTTTTTTCTAAAGCTAAAAATTTAACTTATAAGATAAGCAGAAGTCAAAAGCCAAATATTTTTTTCAAAATCTAAATATTTTTATAAAAATATAAATAACTTTAACTTTTGTAAAAAGAACTTCTAAAATAAGGAAGAGATAAAAGTTACGTTTTTTAAAAGTGCAAACAAACGAGCTCTAAGTCATATAACTAATCAAATATTTAAATTTCATAACATAAATATAAATAAAAATAATTTTTTGTACTTTGTTAATTTTTCATATCATATTTCATAACAGAAAAAAATTAATTTATAAAATTTAGATTTAAATAAAACAACGTGTCCGAGCGTTGACCGCGTGTCGAAAAATGTTGACTGTGTCAAAAAACATGTCGGAACGTGTCGAAGAGTTGACCGCGTGTCCTCAATTGTTGACCGCGTGTCAGAGCGTGTCCAGATCGGACACGTGTCCGACATGCAAAATTTTAAAAATTTGCCGTGTGTCCGTGTATTGGAGCCTCTACTCTTGTTCTTATAGTCACAAATCGAGAAAATTTGTGAACCGGGTTTATTCCATTTCCATGATTAATGGTTTGGAAAATAAAATTGTATTAGAGTGGTTAGTATTGAAAGTTAGCAAACGTAACGGGACTTAAGGCACATAAAGTGTAGCTCTTATGATCTTATATTTTGAGGCGAAGGACTTCTATAATTACCCAGAAGTTGAAGCTCACTTGAATAGTTTTCCAAGATATGTAACTAACAAAATAAGCTAAACTTATGGTAAAGGAATAGAGTTCTGGAAAAATAATCATAATAAAGTGTCATTAATTGAATTAAAAGCAGTCCGCATCATTCAAATTGTGATTTCCCAGAAGTTGTATATGTTAATTCTAAATATGTTTTGAATGGGTGACGTTAAGTGGTCGTTTGGTATGTTGCTCTTTTTAGAATTTTTGGGAAATTAATTTTTTTAAATTTTAAATTTTTGGATATTATCATAAATTGAATGTATAATTTTTAAAAGTCGAGATTTTCAGAAAAACAAAAAATTTCCTTTACTAAACGTCTCCTGCGTAACTCGCGAAAGTCATTGTGTAGGTCAGCAGTTACATTAATTTATAGATATTTTTGCAGAAATACTGAATGCACAACAAAGAGATTGAAAGCCCCATGTGCTTTGAAATTACCATCTAGATATACTATTAATTAGACCCATCCAAAGCGATATCAACTTTTTCCTGTTTTTGCCTGTGGGCATTAACAAGTTTACTATTTGACACTAAGCATTACGTAGGACATGGCCCACGGTGTGCAGTTGAACGCAAGGATAATAGTTCTTTCAAAGAATCAGTTTAATATATCTTTTAAAATTGGAGATGAACAATTATAAAGACAACATTTTCATATATAATTTCTTCCTAATTTGTACCTTTATTTTTTTAAGAAGACATCAGGGGTATTTGGTAGAGGAGAATTTTTTTTTTCCGAGAATCTCGATTTTCAAAAATATAATTTTTACATTCAGTTTACGATAATATTCAAAAATTTAAAATTTAAAAAAAATCAGTTTAAATTTAAAATTTTAAAAAAAACAATTTTTCAAAAATCCTGCCAAAAGCCACGTACCAAACGGCTCCCAGAGTTAGTTCTATATTCCTTAAAGTGGGAAATATATCTTCTCACGGTTACTTTTGGAAGCAATGATATAAAACAAAATTCTTAAAGGAGTTATTATGGATGCGTATCTCAAGTATGACACACAGGGAAAATATATATGACTTGAAAGAAAAGGGTATTTGAAATATTATTGAATTGTGTATAATCTGTACAAAGGGTTCTCTATTTATAGAGAATACTTGACCTAATTTTGACCTAATGGGCTTGGCCTAATACAACAAATAAATGACTAAATAATTATTATTTACAACACTCCCCCTCAAGCTGAGGAATAGATATTTATCATTCTCAGCTTGCTAGTAAGTTCTTGAAATCTGTCTGAAGGAAGCCCCTTTGTTAATAGATCAGCTAATTGATGCCCAGTG